CACAGGCCTCTGCTGTCCCAGCTGTCCCGTGGGGTGTATTCTGGCAATTTGTGCTCCAAGAAGATGGAGATAAGTTAAGGAAGACAAAGCGAAAAACGGGTGGACCTCCCACATTCATGGACTGCAGGAATTAATATTGTTAAAATGCCCATACTGTCCAAAGAGATTTATAGGCTTCAATGGAATTCTTTGAAGAGTGAGATAAAAAATCCTAAAATTAATAGGGAGGTATGTACATCCCCAAGTAGTCCAGTCTGTGATAACACAGCTGGAGGCACCGCATGAACTGATTTCAGGTTATAATACAGAGTTACAGCACAAAATCAGATACGACCTGTGTGACAGAATACAGTGCCAACAATTCAAGCGCCTGTACCACCCGAAGAGTCGCAAGGCACACCCGCAGAAAGGTTAGTCTCCGTCTAAATGGTACAGCAACATGCACATGCGGAAGACTGACGCTTGGGGCCACGCTGCATCCTGCGACCTAACTGAAGCCTGCAACTATGAAGCTTCCAGAAAAAATCATGGGCCAGGGTGGGGCAGGCTGATGGCCCTGGTTCAAAGGGTTATGCTGCATGCATGTGATGAAATACATGTACAGGTGTTACATGTTAATCAGAAATTACATGTTGTGATTTAGGTGCCTGTATCGCTGGCATCTCAAATGCGCGTTGGTTCATGTCCTGGCTGCTCCATTTCCAATCTGCCTCCCTACTGGTTGCCTGGAAAAAGCAGCGGAGGATGGCCCAAGTGTTTGGGAGAAGCTTCTGGCTTCTGGCGTCAGCTTGCCCCAAACCTGGGCGTTGAGGCCATCTGAGGAGCAAAACAGCGGATGGAAGAGTTCCTGTCCTCTCTTTTCGCTGTAACTGACTTTCAAATAAGTAATGCATTTAAAACATGAAATTGTAATAAAATATAAAATGATAAAAACAAAAGTGATCCCTAGAATGGGAGCAAATATTTGCAAAGATCAAATATAGAGTAAGTTGAGATTTATTGCAACTCAGCACAAATATGAACACTCCAACGAAAATCGTCAAATACTCTAAGAGGGAATTTTTTCAAAGAAGATACATGAGCAACCAAAAAGTACATGAAAGTGCGTCCAACATTATCAGCTCCCAGCAAAGGCCAGATTAAACCAAGATGGGATGTCAATTTACCCTCTACAGGATGCCTTCATCAGAGGCACACATGATCATGAATATTGTTGAGGACTTGGGAAAATCGGAGCCCCCGTGTGCCGCTGGCGAGAATGTCAAGTGGTGCAGCTGCTTTGGAGAAGTGTTCTGGCAGTTCCCCGAAATGCTAGCTGCAGAGTTAGCGATGACCCAGCAGTTCCACTCCGAGGTGTGTTCTTCAAGGGACCCCGAGGCAGCCGACCGCACGGAGCAGGCAGAGGACTGCTCTAACAGCATTGCGGTAATAGGTACAAGTGGTGCAACTCGCACTTCCATCGTCGACAGATCAATAAATGTAGAGCACATATACAACAGAATATCAGTCAATAATTAGAAGAAACAAAGTAATGCTAAATATGGTTTTTTTAATAGGGAGTCTTTTAAAAATATTTATTTATTTTTATTGGAAAGGTAGATATTCAGAGAGGAGGAGAGACAGAGAGGAAGATCTTCTGTCTGATGATTCACTCCCCAAGTGAGCGCAGTGGCTGGAGCTGACCCGGTTTGAAGCCAGGAGCGAGGAACTTCCTCCTGGTCTCCCACACGGGTGCAGGGTCCCAAGACCTTGGGCTGTCCTCGACTGCTTTCCCAGGCCACAGGCAGGGAGCTGGGTGGGAAGTGGAGCTGCCAGAGTTAGAATCAGCGCTCCTATGGGATCCTGGGCATATTCAAGGCGAGGACTTTAGCCACTAGGCCATACAGCCGGGCCCATGCTAAATATTGTAAGATGAATATTGAAAACATACTGCTAAATGAATGTCTACACAGTTGTGGTTCTGTTTATGTGAAATGTCCAGAAAAGGGAAAGATAGATTTACAGAGAGGAGGAGAGATACAGAGAAAGATCTTCAGTCCACCAGTTCATTCTCCAAGTGACCACAATGGCCGGAGGTCCTCCAATCTGAAGCCAGGAGCCAGGAGCTTCCTCCAGGTCTCCCACACAGGTGCAGGGTGCCAAAGCTTTGGGCTGTCCTTGACTGCTCTCCCAGGCTGCAAACAGACAGAAGCTGCACAGGACATGGAACAGATGAGACACGAACCAGGACCCATACGGGATCGCGGTACACGGAAGGCAGGGATTTAGCTGTTAGGTCATCATGCAGGGCCCCCAGAATATTTTTAGTGATACCAGACGTTGAAAGCACTCTCCATTTGCAAATAGCTCTTCTTAATCCTGGTTGACTTGTTCTCCACTTTTATAATGCATTTTTCATAATAAACCTTTGTTTATGTTCTGAAATTGAAGCCCTGGCTATTCACCATAAAATATACTCGGCCATAATAGGAGAGATAAGCCACAGGTAGTTTACAGCAGCGCACCCATCCAATGTTGCAGATAGGGCAGGCTTGGCTAGAATGCGGCTCGCACTTCCTGGGACTCCCTGTCCTAGGCTGGACTCCTCCGCTGACGGGCACCCTTGGAGGCAGCAGGTGAGGGTCCGGGGAGCCCCTGCCACCAGGATCCCGGCTTCTGCCTAGCCCCGACCCCACCACTGCGGGTGTTCGCAACATAGCCACTTCCCTCTGTCCCTTCTGACTTCCCTTCATCCCTTCTTTTATTAAAAGCAAGCAAGACAGCAAACAGAGTCCTCTAGGGGGCAGTATCACACAGACAGCAAGCTGATCTATTTAGGATGTTGCCCTATCGTTGAATGAAAAAACAAATGGCCAAACAGCACTTTGCTTAAGTATTGATGTAAGCATATAGAAAAGGGCCTAAAAGGATAGAACGTTGATGCATCAACCAGAAAATGTCTTTGATGAGACTGGCGAAGGTTTGCCGTTTTCTTTGTGCATCTCTCTACAGCTGCCCTTCTGCTTTTCTCGGGGCTCCTTCCTGAAGAAGCTATTGTAACTTGAGAATATTGTCAGTTAAAAATGTGTTGCCTAAATCTGACCTGTGCAATGCCACCTGACAGCAACACAGCCCACTGAATCCAAGGGGAACTAAACCCCCGATACTGCCTGTTGGCAATTACGATCAATTCTTAGGGGGAGCCTGAGAGCAGCAGATCATGCAGGACAACGCAGGGCTGGGTCCCAGCACTGGACGGCAGGGCAGTCCCCACAGCCAGGATGGGTGAGCATCTCGCAGCAAGGAAGGGCTCGGTTCTATCAGCTCCTGCAGAGACCAGTGTTGCCCCAAGTCTCCCCTCAGGACCATGAGTGCCATCTCCAGATAAACTTGGCCAGCTGCAGGACCCCTGACCCTTCTGTGACATATCACGAACCCCCTCCCCCACTCTCGGCCCATGGCACTTCTGGGTTCCTGGCTGCGTCTTGTGGGGGTACCAAGTGTGCCTGCCTATTCCACATGGCCTGGAAGGACCTGGCCGCCTGGCTGGCCCCGGGGTATATCATGGGACCCCTTGCCGCCCTCGGCCTCCTGCAGTCCTCAGGGCTGTGTGGCAGGAGCCTGCTTCCACGAGCCTGTCTGAATGTGCCCAGTGGTGTCGGCTGGCATGGGGCACGAGAGGGAGAGCCTGTCCATTCAGCAGGGGAGGGTGCGTGGGAGCAGAGCGAGGGGAGGAGCAGTACTTGCTGTGATGTGCTGGAAACTGGCGGAGATGTGTGTAGAGAAGCTGGGATCCTCTGTGTCCAGCACTGCTGGCCAGAGAACAGGTGTGGCCTGGCTGGCCTTCCTCGATCAGCACCCAGGTGACGCAGGGCCCCCGTGTCCCAGTGTCATGGGCAGTCCTTTAGGAAAGGCCAGGAGAGCAATGAGGGGAGCCGCTCCTGGTGGACCGATGCTGGCTGTGCAGCTGCTCATTTGTACCTAGGAGAGGGCGTGGAAAGTGGCAGAGCTGTTTGTTGCTTGTGGCTCTGCAAGGAGCAAGGTAAGGACCATCCTTTGCTGCTTCCCCAGGCCGTCAGCAGGGAGCTGGAGCAGAAGTGGGCAGGGCTGCGACATCTGTCAGTCTGTGTGTGAGCTGGTTTGGAGGAGGGCCAGGCTAGACCAGGCCACTGATCTGCTGTTGCATTCAAGGGCTAATGTTTGCAGCACCTGCTAGTAAGTGCCAGGCGGGGTGCAAGTCATGTCAGACTGCTTCACAGTACTCCTGAGAAAGTGCAAGATCCTGGATGGGGACTGGGCCTTGTACTGAAAACTGTGGGCACCCCTCTGCTGGGCTACAGCTCCTGCTGGTGTGCATGAGAGCCAGGGCTGGGGGGGGCAGGCTGGATAAGGTGGCAGACCCATTGGCACTGGATTATGCGGTGGGGTGGCTTGGGCTAAGCTGCAACACCCAATGGTGGTATGGATCAGACTAGTTTGCTGTATGTACTGGCACACACAGGAACTGCGGCTGGCGAGGCCCTGGTGAAAGCTATTACAGGTTGCCCCAACTAGGCCACAGTCCGGCCGGTGTGTACAAGGGCCGGGTCTGTGGCATGCTGGGCTGGACTGTAGCATCCATCACTTTGCATTAAGACATTCGGCTGGGGACAGAACTTACCAGGCAATTACAATCGCCAGTGTGTGCATGGGCTAATGGGGTGACAGACTGAACTAGACCCCATACTGGTTGGCACATGCAAAAGTTAGTCTAAAATCACCCCAGATGAGGTTTCTTGGGGGAATCCCCACTGGCCCACTGGACCCAAAATTCCTGCCATGGGGAGAATCATAGGATTTGTGGTCTAGCCTTGGAAAGACAGAAATACAGAGAGGAGGAGAGACAGACAGGAAGATCTTCTGTCCGTTGATTCACTCCCCAAGTGGCTGCACTGGCCGTGTTTTGGGTGGTCCTCGATTGCCTTCCCAGGCCACAAGCAGGGAGCTGGATGGGAAGCAGGACTGCCGGGATTAGAACCGGTGCCCGTATGGGATCCCGGTGCATTCAAGGCGAGGACTTTAACTGCTACGCTATTGTGCCAGGCCCATGCTAAATATTGTAAGATGAATATTGAAAATACAGTGCTGCCGGAAGATGGGCTTCAGGCCTGAGGAGCTCAGCCGCTGACCTGGGAGGAGGGACTGGTCACTTCTGGGCAGTGGGAGGCCAGCTGCAGGTAGTGGCGTCATCTCTGACTGCATGTTTCTGAGCCTGTCCGGGGCGCCTCGACTCGTCTTACTCCTTTCACTGTGTGCCGACCCTCCCCACTACCAGAGCTTAAGGACACTGCCTGAGTGAGCCCCACGCGCTGTCCACGTGTCCAGCTGATGGCTGCAGAAACTGCTACCCTTAAAGCTGGCAAAAGCAAAGACAAAAGCCACAACTCGGAGGATTTCTCCTTTGAGCATTCTTCATGCTTCACGTGGATATTGTCTTTTACTGTAGGCCCATGTGAGGATTCACACAGCTGTGAAATGCCAGGCGGGTCTTTAAAGGTTCCTGGTAGGCACACTCAGAAAAGCACCATTTCTTCCTAAGTTGGAGTCTGCACGAGACCTTCTGCTTTATCTTCCCTGAATCTGTTTTTTATTTCCTGTCTTCTTGTAGTCGTCATTTCTGGAAGTGCTACTCCAAGTGTGGGACACGGACTGGGCTGTCTGATGACGCGCCGTCTGTTTTCTAAGGGTGATAATAAAATGTGAAGGGGTGAGGCGGTAGGCAAACGCTCACTGCAACTTGTAAAATTCTGAAACAAAGTGTAGCCAGTCGCCACCGGGTAGACATCACGAAGACGCCGCGTGTGCAGGAGGGAGCTCAGGTGGACAGGTGCAGGGCTGAGCTCGTCCACGCGACGCGAGTCCTTCCCCCGACACTGGGTCACCGCACGCCAGGCGGCCGCCCTCTCCGCCGTCGGCCCCACGCCGCCCGCCTGCGCCTGCGCGCCTGCCCTCTCCGCCGTCGGCCCCACGCCGCCCGCCTGCGCCTGCGCGCCCGCCCTCTCCGCCGTCGGCCCCACGCCGCCCGCCCGCGCCTGCGCGCGTCCCAGCAACCCGTGCCGGCGCACGACGTGGCCCCGCCCCGGCGCACGACGTGGCCCCGCCCCGGCGCACGACGTGGCCCCGCCCCCGCGGCCCGCGGGCGCCCTCTTGCGGCGCGCGGCGGGTGCGGCCCGGCGGGAAGAGGCCGGTGCGGGCGGCGTCAGCGCGGCGCCGGGAGGGAGCGCGCAGCCGGGCCGCCGCTTCGCTTGCGCCTATTCGGGCGTCCGCACGCAGCCGCGGGCGCAGGGCCGAGCTCGGGAGCCCGGGCCCGAGGTAAGCACCGGGGCGGCCGCGGGGGAGCCCGGCGCGGCGGCCAGTCGGGGCTGCGGCCTCGGCCCGGCGCGCGGCCCGGCCCGGGCCTCGGCAGGCCCCGCTCCCGCCCCGCCGGCCGCGCAGGGCGCCGGGCTTTTGTCGCGGAGCCAAACTTTGCGCGCCCGGCCCGGCCTGTGCTCCCGCGGCCGCCGCTCGCCGGCCGTGGGCTCCGGCCCGCCGCGGGAAAGTTGGGGCGCCCGGTCCGGAGCCGTCGCGGGGTCGCCTGGTCGGAGGCAGTCCTGTCGGGGAGCCCGAGTTCCCGCCGCGTCCCTAACTTGGCGGTGCTCGCCTCGGCGTGCGGTGCTCGCAGGTGCCCCCGCCGTGCCTCGGCTTCGGGGGCAGGGCCTGGCGCGGCGCCCCAAGTTTGCGCCGCCTGCAGACGTGTCGCGGAGAGCGGGGCTCGTCCGGGAGGGCGCCGGCTTGGAGGCCGCGCCGAGCGCCTGCTGCCTGCCGTGGCTCCGGCGTCGCAGGCCAGTTTCGGTTTGGGGAAAGTGCCGCGGACTTTATACCTGGGAGCGCAAGTTGCAGAACCGTAACCGAAGAGACGGAGGGTTAGTCTCCTCGTAACTTCCCCCTTGAAGCTCTGCCTTGACGTCAGGATTTGTTTATTGAAAGGGAGTGTGTGTGGGGTGGCGGGGCCCCCGATGGCCGCGGCGTCCTTCCGGGGAGCGGGCGCGTGGAGCCCGGCTTTGCGCCTCGTCTTGCCGGCGGTGAACAGCACTGACAAGAGGCCGGAGTTAAAGTTTGCCGTCATTCTGTTGCTCTTGTAACTTTTGGCTGGCACTTAGCTACAAACAGGTCCGGGATAACTGCAGAGACCCAGAGACGTCCCCAGGGACGGGGACGGGGCCACCCTGCAGCCGCGGGGCGCCTGTGGGACTGACCCGCTTCCTGTCGCTTTTCCTCCGTTTTTAATCTCCGCAGTATCTGTGACTTTCCAACATACTATTGCATGACTATGTAAGTTTGTGACAGTTTTTCTTCACTCTGGTGCAACTCCCATGAGAATACAACCTGAGGGTTTATCGGAGTATCAGTCCCTAAATGGCGGAACAGCACTGTGTGCTGGGCGTTCAGTACTTAGTGGGTTAGCATTCTTTTTGCTGTGAACGTCCAAGGAGTAGTTGCGGCTTGCCTGTTTCCTCGTGTGGACCGTTCCGTTCAGGAATCCAGTCCTCAGAGGAGCGCCGCCATCTGTGTGGTCAGAGTATGGAGGGAGACTGCTGCCCCTCGGCCTCCACCCTGGACTGGCCCCGCCGAGGGCCTTTGCGGGGCAAGCCGAGCTGGTGGGAGGAGGAGGATTGTGGGGTCGGGCGGAAGGGCTGGGGGTGGAGGGCAGCAGGCCTGGGGGTAGATGGTTTGTGTTGAGGGCACAGGGTGGGTGTGCGGGGCTCCAGCGGGCGCAGCTGGACGCTTCCATGGGCAGTGAGTAGACTGCAGGACAGCGTGGGAAGCTGCGGGTCCGGAGCGAGTGCGACTTGGAGGGGAAGAAAACCACAGTGGCTTCCGACATAAAAGGGAGTTGGCTGGGAGAAGGTGAGGTCCCAAAGAATGTCGGGGAATTAGGACGTGGGCGTGGTCCTGCAGGACCCCAGGGGGTGGCCTGCCAGCTATCGTTGAATCAGGCGAGAGCCCTTGGGACCGTGACTTGTCACCTCAAGTTGGTGCGTGCCCAGGTCTATCCTGGGCTCGGAAGTGAAGCTGGAGATGGCGCTTCGGGACGGTGTACCCCCATACCCACAAGAAAGCCAGTGTCTGCCAGTCTGCTTCAGTGCTGTACGCCATTTTGCCTTTTTACAGTAAACTTAGTGTTGGGTGTATTTGCGCGTTTTGTGGGAACGAGTTTGTGGCTCCAGAGAAGTCTGTCCCGAGCGGCAGATCCTTCCGGACGCTTGGGCCTTTGCAGGTAGCACTCGGCTTGGCCGCCAGCCTCTGCAGCAGGCCTCCCAGCTTCGGCTCTGTCGGAAGCGCTGGCAGTGACCTGTGCTGTTGGGCGCCTGCGCTGTGGCCGGGGTGACTGAGGCGCAGTGGGAGTTACCTGCTTACAAGTGCTGGTCCCTGCAAAGCTTCCATTAAGAAAACTTAATCTTGAGAAAGGAAAAGCGTATTGGTCTTCATATGGATTTATTGCTGCTTTATTTATCTGCTAATGAATTTTGTAGGTAACTTTTTTTTTTTAAGATTTATTTTTATCGGGAAGTCAGGTATACAGAGAGGAGAGACAGAGAGGAACGTTTTCCATCCGATGATTCACTCCCCAAGCGACCACAACAGCCGGAGCTGAGCCGATCCAGAGCCAGGAGCCGGGAGCTTCTTCTGGGTTTCCCACATGGGTACAGGTCCCAAGGCTTTGGACTGTCCTCGAATGCTTCTGCTTTCCCAGGCCATGAGCAGGGAGCTGGATGGGAAGTGGGGCCGCTGGGGTTAGAACCAGTGCCCACATGGGATCCTGGCGTGCGCAAGGTGAGGACTTTAGCTCCTGGGCTACGGGGCAGGGCTCTGTAGATAACATTTTTTAAAGAGTCTTCCAGCCAGATTTCAAGTACCCCTTGAACTGTTTGAGAATGAGTGGCAGGTGCAGGGTGGCCCGCACCTCAGGGTTAGAAGGAGTTTTTGGTTTGAAACTTTGTAGCTGTTGCAGTCAGAAAGTTAGCTATTTAGTGGCAGGTGTCCGTCTGCTTGCCTGTTTCCACAGTAATTTATTTTGTAACAGAAGGATTCTGTGTTGCCTTTAGATGTAATATCCTTTAAATACCGGAACAAACCCTTGAACTCACCATCATAACCTTTATAGTTTTTAAAGACTGAAGGTTGGTGAAGTTGCCTTTATGATGGGAACTGTGTTTTCGCCTGTTTCCATACTCTTCCTTTAGGGACAGAATCAACGTCTCAGTCCTGGCCCTGAGCAAGCAGACTGGCCCACTTGGTCACCACCTCGGTTTATCTTCTGGTGGGGGAAGGGAGCTTTTGTTTTGGGGCCAGGTGGTAGAAATTACTGCCCATCAGGAGTAAGATTTTTCCTTCTGTCCTGGGTGATTCAGAGCCCCCTCGCTGAGAGGGTCGGTAAAAGACCCCCATTTCACCCTGCCCTACCTTGGAGCCCCCTCCTGTCACTGAGAGGAGTGCCTCTCTCTTTCCCAAATAAATTAGACTGTACAAACTAAACAACAACAAAAAAAAAAGGTTGAAGTTTGGGCCTGGTGCGATACCCTAGTGGCTAAATCCTTGTCTTGCACGCACCGGAATCCCATAAAGATGCTGGTTCGTGTTCTGGCTGCACCACTTCCCATCCAGCTCCCTGACTGTGGCCTGGGAAAGTAGTTGAGGACGGCCCAATGCCTTGGGCTTCTGCACCCACATGGGAGATCTGGAAGAGGCTCCTGGCTCCTGGCTTGGGATCGGCACAGCTCTGGCAGAGTGAGCCAGCGGTTGGAAGATCTTTCTCTTGCTCTCTCTTCCTCTCTCTTTCTCTAAATTTGCCTTTCCAATAAAAGTAAATAATCAGGAACAGCAAGAGCAGCAACAGCTGTTTAACGACAGCTGTCGGTAGGTTGTGTTGGAACGTCTCCCCTTGGGTTCTTCGTGCTCGAGTTTCCAAGGATGCGGTGGCCCTCGTGTCTCGTCAGTGGCATGCAGGTCGTACAGGTCACCGTGTTTCTGCTGCCAGATACCTGGATCACCTGGGCGGATTTGTTCTGAGTTTTTCTGTGACCCCAATTGCCCAAGCTGAGCTAGTCTGAAGCGAGGAGCCTGGAGGTTCCTCTGGGTCTCCCACACTGGTGCAGGGTCCCAAGTCCCAAGTCGAGGCCATCCTCGACTGCTTTCCTAGGCCACAAGCAGGGAGCTAGCTGGATGGGAAGTGGAGCAGATGGGCTATGAATTGGTGCCCCTAAGGGATCCTGGTGCATGCAAGGCAAGGAGTTTGGCCACTAGGCTACTGTGCCTATTCTTTAGCCAACTTGCCATGTGTTGTGTGTTGGATTGTCTGAGTCCAGGCCAGGGCGAGTCAGGGCGGCTCTTGCTGCTCCTGCAGCCAGGTTTTACTCTGACTGGAGCGTCCATTGGCCATCAGTGTGTCTTCAGGTTGAGCGCCGCCCTGTTGGTCACTTGCCCGTGGTACTCTGGCTGGTCCTGTGCTGGGGTCCACTGCTGACGCCACGTGTGTCAGATCCAACTGAGTGCTGAGGACCTACTGCGGGCTCCCTTCATGTCCTCCAGGGACGTTCTCACTGACCTGTGCGCTCATTGTCCCAGGCAGAATAGCAGCATACAGCTCTTTTTCTTTCTTTCTTTCTTTCTTTTTTTTTTTTTTTGTTTCACTTTTGTTTTAAAGATTATTTATTTGAAAGGCAGAGTTAGAGAGAGAGACAGAGAGAGTGAGAGCAAGTGTGAGCTCAGGCGTCCACTGGTCACTCCCCAGCTGGCCTGGGCGGGCCAGGCTGAAGCCAGGAGGTGTCCCACGTGGGTGCAGGCCTATGGGCTGTTCCTGGGCATATTGCGGTGGCTGGATTGAGAGTAGAGCAGCTGGGTCTCAGAACTGCAGTTGCGGGCAGCACTCGCTGGAAGATTATTACAACAGAAATCTTAGTGAAAAATAATGGAAAATAACTTTCTGATTTAAGCCTGTTGAGACTAATTTTCCCCTTTCTTTCTATCCTTAAGTTTGAGACCCACTTTTAAGATTGTTTTTATTGTCATTTTGGCAGTAAGGTAAAACAGTCATTCAGCCTGTTTTATGCAGAGGTTTTTAAAAATTTATTTATTTTTATTGGAAAGACAGATATGCAGAGAGCAGGAGAGGCAGAGAGGAACATCTGCTATCTGATGATTCACTCCCCAAGCGGCTGCAATGGCTGGAGCTAAGCCGATTTGAAGCCGGGAGCCAGGAGCTTCTTCCAGGTCTCCCACGTGGGTGCAGGGTCCCAAGGCTTTGGGCCGTCCTCGACTGCTTTCCCGGGCCA